CCATGTCCCCTCTGTCTTCTCCTTTCCAGACTAAACAAGCCCAGTTCCTTCAGCCTCCCCTCCTAGCTCCCGTTCTCTAGGCCTTTCCTCATTCCTTTGCTCTTCTCTGGACCCTCGCCACTTTCTCCACATCTTTCTTGAAACGCGGTGCCCAGCACTGGACAGTCCTGCAGGTGAGGCCCAGTCAGGACAGAGCAGAGCGGAAGAACGACGACTCGTGTCTTGCTCACAACGCGCCTGCGTGCGCCTCCCACAGTCAGGTCTGCTTGTTTTGCAGCAGCGTCACCTTGTTGGCTCCTATTTAGCTTGTGGGCCGCTCTGACCCCAGTCCCTTTCCGCAGGGCCCCTGCCCAGGCAGTGTGCTGACGGCTTGCGCTGTCCCTGGAGCATGAAACCCCTGCGCCTGCCGCTTCGTCTCCACTGCCGGGCCCTTGGCGCTGGCTGAGCTGCAGACTAGCGCCTCGTGCAGGGCAGAGCGGGGACCTCCGCAGTCCCCGGAGCCCGCTGCTGCGTTCATCCCACTCCTTCCTCTGGGCGCCCCGGAAGAGGCTCCCTGTGGGGCCATCCTCAGCAGAGGACACAGCCCTTTCGTGAACAGAAACAATAACCTTGTGCCCCCGCCCAGGAACCCCACTGGTCTCCCCGTGAGATAGCATAGCCTGGGGTACACGCGCACGAGGGGAGTCCGTGGCGTCCGGCGGGGGAGCGAGAGGCGGAGCAGTAGGAGCGGCGCTGAAGTCTGTTGCGTGTCGCTGCTGGGCCGTTGGGAATCCCGCAGGCCGCGCGGGGGGGGTCGGGGCGCGGGGCAGCTGCTGGCTCTAGGCCACAGGGATGCAGCGAGGTCCCTCAGGAGCTGACACTGCCCTGGCTAAGGCCTTGCCGGTGCAGGTGAGTCCCTGGCTCCAAAATCTCCCGGCTGCTAACGAGTCGGCTCTGAAAGCAGAGCACGCTGTCTGCTGGCCTGCAGGGACACTACTGCCTGGTCTGCTCCTATCCCCGTTAGCCGCGTGGCGCCCGGGGGAGGCGCCCGTCTCTTGCAGGAGAGCTGGGGCCCTGCGGGCAGCGCGGGTGGTGCCAGGAAGAGCGAGACCCTGACACCGTGCGAGCTGGACGATTTCCTTGGGCTGCCCAGACGGGTCCCAGTGACAACGCTGGCGTGGCCGTGGGCCCTGGCGGCAAACCGGGAGATGGTCTTGGGCCCTGTGAGCGCCGTGCGTGTCGCCGGCCTGAGTCCCGGCGTGCCCAGCACTGTGTGGGCCCTCGCCGGCATGGCCTTGCTCTGCCGAGGGCGGAGCGCTGTCCCGTTGCTGAGACACGGCCCCACAAGCCATCTGATGGCTGCGCCAATACGGCCAGGCCGCCGTGCGCTTGGGCCTGGGTTCTGTTCCTGTGCCGCCGTGCCAGGGCGCGGTGGTGCCCGGTGGAGCTGTTCACGGCCGGCACTGCAGCAGTGCGGGCGTCTCTCCGTAGTCACGGTTGCAGGGCACACCTGTGGGAGGTCGGCCTTTCGCTGGTTCGAGTGCTCCAGGTGCTGCGTTGGGTTCCTTGCTCAGACCCTAGGCAGGGCAGGCCAGATGAACGCCTGGACCCTGGTGAGCTGAGCAGATGAATCCCTCCGCCCCAGGTCCGCGCGTTGCTGCGTTTGTTTGCTGTGGGGGTTGTGGGCTTGACAGCTGGTGTGTGGAAATCTGCGAAGTGTGATCCGTGGGGAGGCAGGTGTCTGGACACCCGGCTGTCACTCCTAGAGCTGGGAGGGGTGCAGCGTCTGCGTCTCTCAAACTCCTGTCCTGGGCGTGGGGTCCCGCGAAGGCCGGTGTGTCGGGTGTGATGCGTGTGTGTCCCTGGGACTACCTTGGGCTTGTGTGTCGTCCCTGCGGGGGTGGTTCCTGCTAGGGCGGGAGGGAGGACTGGGTAAGAGGAGAACGGGCTGGCAGAGAGGCCGGGACCTGTACAATGTGGGTCTTTGCTGCCCCGGAGCCCTGAGGAGGCCGCGACTTCCTGGAGGCGTTCGGGGTGGGTTCTGGGGCACTCTGCCTCTGCCACTCCCTTTGCACCGACTCCCGGCAGAGCTCGTGCCACACGCCCGCCCAGAGAGGGGGCCAGTCTCCGCATGGCACCCCGGCAGCACGCTGGCCCGCGGTACCTCTCTGGGGAGACCCAACCAGCACGGGGGTCGCCCACAGAGAGCTCCGCCTCGCTGTGCTCAGCCTCCTGCTGAGCCGTCTGTCCCGGGGGGCTAAGCAAGGGTCCGTGTGCCCGCTCACGCCCTGTCTCCTCCTCCTCTGCAGATCATCAGAAACTGGAACGCGAGGCCCGAATCTGCCGGCTCCTGAAGCATCCCAATATCGGTAAGTTCTGTTGCAGGGCCGGTGACGGTCACTGCTCGCCCGCCCCGTGCTGGCCTCCTTCCTGCAGCGCTGTCCTGCTCCCTGCTCTAAATGTTCGCATCGGTGTGTGGAATAAATGTATGCGCACGGAGGCGCGTGCAGATGTGCACCACCACTAGCAACAAACCCAGCTGTGGGCGCTCGGCTAATCAGCCGGCAGCATTTGAATCTCTCCCGTGTGGCTGGCCAAGGGGCCTGCCGTATGCACCCCACTTCCTTCTCCTGGGTGCCCCCGAAAGGGCTGTGTTCGGTGTGCTCCCCGCCAGCGCTCAGCCCGCCTGGTCACTGGCTCTGTGTGCAAAAGAGCCGACACCTTGTTCCCGTTCCTGAAAGGGCTTTGTCTGCTGTGCGGCTCCCGGCTGGGTCTCCTCCAGCGAGGGGGGGCGGCTGCAGGGTTGGGCTGAGGCGCGGGGACGACTGACTTGAATGTCAAGGAAGGGAAGAACGAAGTTCCCTCCCCCCCCCACGCGATGTGCTCGCCTGCAGGCCCAGGCGTGGGATCCTTGTGCCTGGCCAAGCTCCGTGGCAGGGACGTTTGCCAGAAGCCCCGCTCATCCCTTTCCTTCATGCTCTGTGCTGGGGCCTGAGTGGGTGCGGGCCCAGCATGGGCCCCGTGGGGCTGTGTGGCTCTGGGGAGAGGGCTGAGGGCCTCCTTCGGGCAGGCGGCAGGCTCCGGTAGCGGGCTGCAGGGGAGGCTTACCTCTGTCCCGGGGTTTCTTTCCCACAAGTAGCTCCGGTGGTGGGGCTGTGGCCCCCGTGGCCCCAGATATCCCACAAGTTGAATGGGGCTGTGTGGCTCTGGGGAGAGGGCTGAGGGCCTCCTTCGGGCAGGCGGCAGGCTCCGGTAGCGGGCTGCAGGGGAGGCTTACCTCTGTCCCGGGGTTTCTTTCCCACAAGTAGCTCCGGTGGTGGGGCTGTGGCCCCCGTGGCCCCAGATATCCCACAAGTTGAATGGGAGGGCGTCTCCTTCCCCCGCCCAGCGGCTCCCGCCCCCG